GGCGGGGGTGAGGGGCCCGGCACGGGGAGGGAGAGGGGCCGGGCCCTGAGGGAGCCGGGCCGGGGCTCACCCTCCTGCCCGCCGTCGGTGGGTCTTTCCCCAGTGAAACCCCTGGGCTGTGTGCTTGAGGCACCCTGTCGCCTCGTTCTGCGCCTTGTGGCCGCAGTGTAAACCGCCGTCCGCAGCAAAGATGTGTCATGCTTCTGGAAGCACTTTTGGTGGCTTGTACCTAACTGTAATATTTGTGTTTTCAGACCCTTATGTGCATAAACCCACCCCTTTTTGAGGTTTATCAGATGCTGTTAAGCCCCATGCAGCATCACGTGGCGCTCATCGGTACTAAGGGGCTCATGGTGCTGGAGCTGCCTAAGCGTTGGGGGAAGAATTCGGAGTTCGAAGGTGGGAAATCCACGGTGAACTGTAGGTGGGTGAGACCTCAGGCGGTTAAAAACATCCTTGTCCTGCTGTTGTTCCTCATAGCCTCTCCTCCTCTCTTGGTGCCAAGCAGATATGGAAGGCGTTGGTTGCATTGGGGTTGTAGGGACAATCACAAATGAAGTTATTTTAGCTCAGGGATTTGCTGGTTGTCAAAATGTCAAATGACGCAAATAAATGACCTTCTAAACTTGCTGTAAATGCTGAAGAGCAAGGTGCTTCTCTGTAGTATTCTCTAGCCTTTCTGGGGTCTGTTAGCTGTGGTAGCTAAAAGTGTCCGGATGGAAATCACAAAGGGCTTCAAGTTAAAGCTGTCCCTCCAGCTTTACGAATAATACGGTACGGCTTTGAATAATGACTTTGAAACCCTTTAGTTGGGTCTCTAGCTCCTCTTGCCCCCACATCCCTTTAGAAGTAATTCCTGTGTTTCTTGTAACAGTGCGTGTTTCTGCTCTGTATTTCAGCACTGTTCCTATTGCGGAAAGGTTCTTCACAAGCTCAACATCTCTGACTTTAAAGCATGCTGCCTGGTATCCCTGTGAGACAGTAGAGCCCCATATTGTGCTCTTAACTTCAGATAACACTATCAGGTAAAACCTGTTTGTTGTTGATTATCGTAGTATTTTTTTTTGTCATAGCCAGTCTGATTTTTCACTAGATATTTGTCTCCTGCCATCCTTACCAGGATTACCAATAAAAAACAGGATGGGAGAAATTTTAGACCGATAACCAACTCATGTTCCTGCATCAGCAGGGACTTATGCAGCACTGCCAGCTGAATGAACATTGCTGCTGTTTCTTTCCTTTAGGTTTTACAGTCTGAAGGTACCTCAGACACCTGTCAAAGTGATTGCTCTTTCAGACGCTGAGGAGGAGACCCTTACAATCAGAAAAGGGTTTGTGTGGCTTCTTGTATTTTGAAATGCTTTTGACAGAATAAGCTCTGTATTCTCAGTAGTGTTTTTAATGAATAAGTGATAAATCTATCTGAAAATCATGTGATTATTTTTCATGGACTTCAGTGCTAGGACTTCTTCCTAGTACAGTAACTGCATGTTGGTTTTTTTTTCTCTTTTTCCCATTCTTCTAAAAGAAAGTGGTAACAAAGTGTACAGTTAAAGTGTTTTTCAGAGCAGTCATTTGTCTTTAAGATGGGGTTAAGACATGCTTTTTGAGTGGGGGATGCAGAAAATAGATGATCTTTTTCTTTCCCTCCTGTCCTTGTTGGAAAGAAAAAACTTGAGGGTCTTTCCTAGTCAAATCACAGAGTGATGTACTAGGGAAATACCAGTACGCCCTCCTCTTTTATCCTGGGAAACTGGGCTGGCTGGTGGGTGAGGAATGGAACTGAGGTACCATAAGAAGGGTGTTACTTGCATGCTTTTGCTGCTGAAAATAGCATATATCAACGGCCTGATGGACAGGTGTTAGCAGTGATTCGTCAGCACATACCGACAAACCTGGTTAAATGCTCCTGTTCTCCCATCCCTGCTGACTCGGGTCTTGTTCTGACTTGTCTCCAGGAGAGCCTATACAGCATCGCTGGGGGAGACTGCGGTGGCTTTTGACTTTGGTCTGTTAGTGCCAGTCCCAGAGAATGTTCTTGGCCAGCGACGGAGCGAAGAAGTGTTGGCCTATCCACTTTACATTTTGTATGAAAATGGAGAGACATTCCTCACATATATCAGCCTGCTACAGAGGTAGGATCACATTTGTTCTTAGGTTTTGTGGGGTGCTTGTGTGTTTGTACAACATTAGGGTTGGAGAGCCACCTCTCAGTTTGCTGGGACTCTCTGTAACGGAGCTTGGGCAGGATTTTATTGTACTGCAGCTTCTTTTATTTCTTTGTGGCAGGAATACAAGAATAGTGTGCCATACTTTTTCACCAGACGTTAAGGGTGCAGTTTCCACTGCTGAGAATCCACTGTCCATTATTTACCATCAGATACCTTTGAAGATGCTGGACTGTTAAAAGATCAGTGGGTCTAAGGCTGTTAAAGTGTATTTCAAGGCTGTCAGTTCACAGCACAGATATCCTTAGCTTTGGATGAGGCTGAAGGAGCCCGTGGCATCTTAGGAGAAGAAATATTTTAAGATCATAGAGGGTTTGCAGGCATGTTCTTGTAATGAAAAGTCAAGAATATGAATCAAGAATATAAACACAACACAAAGAAAAATTGCTTCAAAAAACTGAGAAGGTGGTGGAAAACTTAAAAGTTGGATCTCGTGTAGCTGAATATTAAAACGTGGTATTTAGGTTAGAAACAGCGCTGTTTGCATGGGAAATGATGCAGCATTGAGCAGATCTGTCTGTAGGCAATGAAATGGGCTTAGTCCCTTCAAAAGTTCTACCTAGAGAAATGCCATGCCACAAAATGCTGCTTATAAAGTGCTTTATTAGGCAAGAAACCAATGAAGTGATAGTTAACTTGAGCTTTCAGTGAGTCCTTTGTGTTGTATGAAAATGTTTCCTTTGGAATTTCTTGCCATGTAGCTTGGTTGCTTTCGAAGCATAAAATTTTATTGCTGAGCTCCAGTTTCTTCTCTGAGATCTCCACCAAGTAGGTGTAGATCAGGCTCTTAATCCACACAAGTCTGGGTTGCTGATCTCTAACATAAATTAGACAGAACTACAAACCATTGGGTTGGTTGGTTGTGTTTGTTTTTTTTTAAAATCACCCTTATTTTGTAGTTATTGTGCAGCAAACTCCCTCAGGCAACCATGGGGAACTCCTTCCACACCTTGTGTAGTGAACACATCTTCTTTATTGCAGCACTGGAATTCTTGACAAGCTGCTCGGCCCTCTGCCCATGCACCCTGCTGCAGAAGATAACTATGGCTATGACGCCTGTGCTGTGCTTTGCCTGCCTTGTGTTCCAAACATCCTGGTGATCGCCACCGAGTCGGGAATGCTTTATCACTGCGTGGTACTGGATGGAGAGGAGGATGATGAGCAGGTACCAACCATGTCTTGTTTTTTTTTTCTGTACGCATTTTTGTTTCTTTAGTCACAGTTCCTGGTGGCAAGGTGGCAGGATGCCTGGAAGTAAGTGCCAAGTGCCAAAGCTGCATTCTTTTATAATGAGGTAGAGAGTCTTCCTCCTATTCCAGCCAGTCCCTGTGATTCTCTGATGATTTTATTTTAAATGTCAGTTCTGTGTATCCTGACAGTAGATCAGTTTTTGATCAAACTTGCTATGAAGTATTTTAAAGAGTATCTTCTTAGAAGAAACCCTGTTTCTGAGATAATTTTTTTTAACTTAAAATAGAAGGGACTTGATCTACTTTCCCCGACTTTATTAATACTGCCTATATAACCTATATAACCTGTTGATGATGTTTATGTTGGTATTTCTGTTTTAAATGATGTCTCACAGAAGAATTCAATGCTCTTTACAGTCAGAAAAGTCATGGGACCCAAGATCTGATCTTACTCCTTCGCTGTATGTGTTTGAATGTGTTGAGTTGGAACTTGCACTGAAACTGGCATCAAGGGATGAAGAAGACCCTTCGGAGTCCTATTTCTCCTGCCCAATCAAACTGCATAAAGGTAGGGCTGTCATTCAGGTTGTTGGTTTCTACTTGCTTTATTTCATGCATTTAGGACCAAGCTATTTACAAATTATTGGTGTCTGTCATGTCCTGCTCAGACGAGGGGGACAAGTGACTCAGATTCACAAATCCCCAATTGGAGCGGACAAGTCTCCAAGTTCAAGCATTTATTAACTGCCTACAATGTACTAATTGAACACATGATAATTGGCTAAGTACAAAGCAAGCTGTGGCGAGCAATATAATATGCCTTGCATTTCTTAATAGAAAAAGGAAAAGAGGGAGATAGAGGGAATGGGGGAATACAGATCACTGGTCTGGGTTCCTGCGCTGATCCTGCTGGCGAGTGTTCCAGGAGATGGCCGTCTTTTTTTGCTGGCATCTGTCTTCTTTGCTTCACTGCTCTCTCCAGACGGCCGGGGGGGCAGGGAGAGGGGCAGAGAGAGAGAGAGAGAGCCCTTTCTTCTCCCCTTTGATTTATACCCACTTTCCTTGGGTCCCTCCCCTAGGTCGACCCACAGACCTATGTATCCCATGTATGGGGAGGGGTCAGGTGTTCCATGGGATGATGTAATTAGCATGTTCATGACAGCCCTCGTTAGCATATTGAGGGGTGTCAACTTTAATATGCATTTCGTGGATAATGAAGCAAAGTTCATTCACCGGACACATGGCCTGTGAAATTTGCCCAGGTGCCCCAGGGCAGAGCCCTCCTGTCTCCACAGGGCTCTCTCCCCCAGATACATCGGGCAGCCTTATCAGCTTTGGCCTCCACAGCATGCACCCCGTGACTCATAGTTTTGTCTTGTGAGTGTTTGAGGCATTTCTTCCATCAGCCTCAACTTTTGCTTTTCCAGGCTGTTTGTCTTAGTTTCTCACAGGCCTGGTTGCTTGTCTCTCACATTGTCTTAGAGTAAGATTTGCCTGATGTGTGGAAGGAGCAAGCTTGGGAGGTGCTTCACTCAAGGGCAGGTTACATATGGTCACACAATACTAAATTCTTTCAGCTGTGGATTATAAAGTAGAAATTGTTGAATTTGTGATGAGCTAAGTCTGTAAGCAAGTGCTGTGGGGATGGTGATCCTGAGGGAAGAATTGGGATCTGCTTACTAGACTGTCTGGTGTAGCTGTGGGGTAGCAGGTCAGGTTGGACAAAGTGTTTGGGTCTTTCTGAACAAGAAGCTTGTCAGAATGCTGGTCTGCTGGCTTTA